TCTAACTGCTATTGCTATTGCTATTTTTCCTCAACTTCCCCTAGTTTGCCTCTTCAGTTTGAGTTACTTCTGGTAAGGCTTCAATTTTTTGCTGTTGGTAAATCTGTGCAGTTCTTTTAATTCTGCCTTTGTGATTACTTTATTTCACATTACAAACCAACATTCATCTAGTCTCTGTATTCTTATTTCTCATTCTGGATGCTGTTCTTTCCAAACTGATACATATCCTCTTCTCATTGGATTTTATTTATAACAACAGATCACTATTTCAGTCTTTGTATATTGGTGACGGATAAATCATTTTTCTTCTAGTCATCCTTGCAACTGCTGGCCCTGGTTGCTCAGTCTTGATTCCTCTAGTCCATGAACTTCAAGATCTAGCACAGTCATTGTTGACCAAGATGGCACCCAATCCAGTATGGGCTCCTATAAATTACTTCCTATAAATATTTCGTATAGGAGAGGCATTCGTCATTATGAGATTTTTTAAAACAAATCTCACTTTTTAAAAATTTGGTCAATGCACAATGGCACTGAAAATGATTCCCCCACCCCCCTGTAGCATTCATTTTGTCAAGGAATATGATTAGCATGATCATCTGCACAATCATACTGTTTTCTTATACTTTCATTACAGGTGCGGGAGTCTTTGACTTATGACCAATTGGAGCCTGCTACATGATTACCTCATTTAACAATTTTCCATCCCTGTTCTCCCCATTAGTTGTTAAGTAGATAATGGAGTGGGGGAGGCCCAGAAGTGGGTGCTATTTTTGAAGCAGCTACCATTCATTGGCTGAGCCACAGGGCTTAGGAATACCGAGGGATGCCTGCTTTCTTTTTGCAACATGATCTCTGGAGCTTTAGAGAGCTATAAAAGGTAAGTGAATGGTCAGTGATGGGGTAGGGGCTGGGACCCCATAGGTTGAGAAGCAGGTCCAAGGCTTGCAGAGTGCCAGGTTTATGGTCATTGAACTAGGATTGTTGTCACATGACATCTTACTTAACAACCACTTCACTCAACAACCAAGATTCCAGTCCCAATTATGGTCATAAGCCAAGGACCATCTATATAAAACAGAAAATATCTTATCTTTTTATTATGACTGGAATTATAAACAGATCCTCTTAGCAATGGCCTACTTTTTCCTCATCCTCTTGCTATTCTTTTTCCCACACCCAGCAACAAATTTTCAAATAAAGCCTCATATACCATAACTCTCAATAAATTCTTAATGTCACTTCCTTTTTTGGAAGAGAAAAAACATACAGTATGCATTGCTGTGACAAAACCAGACAAACTCAATAGACTGTTACAAGATTTTTTCCACAAAATTTTGCTATGAATCCTTGAATTCAAGAACTTTACAAGCATCTTGCTCATTAATAAAAATATAAAGGTAATAACTTTCAATAGGATTTTTTTCTTCAATTTCCTTTCTTTTAGAAAAGGTATTTGAAAACTGAATATATAATGCCAACTTTGTAAACAGGACATACCTAAAGCCCTGTTTCATTTTAGGCCAGCTGGGCTCACTAAGATAACGTCAAAGCAAAAGGATTTACTGTTTACTTTTTGTTATGTATCTTTTAGTTTTTAAAATTTTTGCCCCTAAACATTTTCCCTAATTAACTCACTTGAGGTGAAAAGGCCAGCCCCATCATAGGGCCCTTCAAGGTATCCATCACCACAGGAGGAGGAGTCTGAAAATGTGCTTTAGTGACAGTAAATACACACTATACAAAGACAGGAACACACAAAAGAAAACATACAAGGAAGAGAAAGAAAAGAACTTCAGAAAGAAAAATGGAAGAGTTTGATGAATTGAATGTTATGTCCAGACATATATTGGAAACATTCATATACAGAACTGGAGGGGAATTCATGATTTGCAAGAGGTTTAACATTTCAGGGTAACTGTTGTATTTTCAAATTAATCTCTTTTTAGTTGCATGTTGCATTTGAGAATTCATTTTAGGAAAAAGTATCAGAATCTTCTGCAAATGCATGGGCCTTCTAATGATTAGGTCAAATGGTTATTGGTAACAATAGAGGAAAGATCAATTCAGTCAAAACTATCAAATATTCCAATGAGCACAACCACTTCTATCTTCAATAACTTAAAGAACAAAATTCCAATGAAGACAGGAGACAGGCATATATGCAGAGGGGATGGAATGGGGAAAGCATGAAATGTGTCATGACATCATGATACAAATCCATATATATTTGCATCCAATAGAAACAGATAATGAGTAGAGTTTCTGGTTTTCCGTTTAAAATGGACATATAGGATGATGGAGCAAAGTTTTTGATCACAAATTTTATAACTGTGGTGTCTTGCCAGAAGACATGTCATTTCATATTAAACATAAATAAGATAATGGCAACAATAGAGTCAGAACATCTTAAGAAGTAATTCTTGTCAAATGATGATGGTCAATTAATTATTAAAGAAATAGCCAACAAGAATGCTCTATATTAGTAATGACTTGATATTTATAAATTGGAGAAATGGGGATAAAGAAAACAGCTGTAAGCTCATACTCAGCAGAATATTCTTCCCCTAAAATTAAAATTAAGAAGCAACTATATAAGTAATTACATACAATCTAACTTTCTCTGGCAGCAACCACCAATATTGCCATTAGAGAAGAACTGAAACTTATTTTCATGCCAGGATGGCCTCATTGCACTGAGTTTTAAAACTAAGCCTTGTGTCTTGTTTTTTAATCCAAATATTTTGCAGAAGTATCTGCCAATCTATGTTAAGTATCGAATTTTTAAAAAATCTGGAAATTACAGATGGATAAAAAGGTTAGATTATATTATGATCAGTAGATTGTCATCAAGCTTGAACTAATTTTTTCATACACCTAAACTCTATTCTTATTAATTAAAAATACAATCTCTTGGCAATGGTGAAATATATACATAAGGAAGTGTATTCTAATCCATGTCCATCACTGTTTAGTTGTCATGCTCTTCATTTTGCATATAATAATCACAGGTTGCAAAAGTGTCAATGCTAAAATATGGCTGTATAACTGTATAAATAAGGCACACTAGGAAATTTCTAAATTGATTTTGAAAAACAACTTACCTGGGATGGGGGAGAAGTAGAGAAAGAAGTTGTACATACTTCTTGAGAATCTTCTACTGATGGATATGCCACTGCATTTTCTTCACCTGTTCTGTAACAATCACAAGATACTTTTTTAAAAAAATGGAAATGTTTAATAAAAGCTAACCAAAGTTTCTACTGATAAAAACACTACAGACAGGAATTAGAAGATTTGGGTGGAGTTGAAAGGAGAATTATGACAGAGCTCACCCTTTCCTTAAAAGAGCGGAACTAGTAGGGTGGATTTAATATTTTTGAATTTTATGTGTTCATAAATTTTCCCCAGAAAAGAATGAAATATTTTCTTAAAAGTTTTATTTTTTTGTTTTTCAGAAGGAAGCTTTTACTGATATTCATTTCAAGGCTATTAGTTGTAGAGTTATACAAAATGTAGTTTCAGAGCTTCACAAAACACATTTCTAAACACTGCTGTTTTGGCCTATGAAGAAAATATTAACCTTGGAAAGGTTTTTAAAAATAGATCATCTATTAAAATGTTTTGGAATTGTGCATGCTTTACTTATACTATCATACAAACATTAAATAGAAATAGAATAACAGTTGGAAGGAGCCTTGGAGGTCTTCTAGTCCAACCCTCTGCTTAGGAAACCCTATAACACTTCAGACAAATGGTTATCCAATGTCTTAAAAACGTCCAGTGTTGGAACATTCACAACTTCTGATGGCAGGTTGTTCCACTGATTAATTGTTCTAAATGTCAGGAAATTTCTCCTTAGTTCTAAGTTGCTTCTCTCCTTGATTAATTTCCACCCATTGCTTCTTGTTCTACCCTCTCTTTGGAGAATAGCTTGACTCCCTCTTCTTTGTGGCAGTCCCCCGGGGATTTTGGAATTAAGGTAGAAATTTGTAAAACAAATGCCAAGTTGTTTGGGGGAAAAAAGAAATTATTTTCATTCTGCACTTTACTCTGGAAAAATATTTATAATCCCAAGATTTCTCCCTGACTAAGGTATGACCTGAAATGAATGTGTCTTAAAGTTTTCTCATTCTACCCATCCACTTCTAAATAGTGTGAGAAATTCAGGCTTTTTCTGCATGCTACACTTCAAAACTGAAGCAGAGAGCAGGACTCACATAATTTTCTCTACCCAGCAATGTAAGCTATAAAAGTTCTATACCTGGGATAATTGCCTCCACTATTCATGATTCCTCTTTCCTCACCTGTAATTGCAGGGATGCATGGGTGAGGAGCTGGGGTAGGGACGGTCCACAAAGTGATCAATGATAATCCCCATGATAGGTGGGGTCCTCTCAAACTGCCTGCAAGGCAATAAGTAATAAGCAAATTTTATTATTCATAGGACTGTGGTTTCTATTTTACAACTTGTTCTGACAGCCATCCTGCTGTTTTGGGTAAATTTATGGGGAGCAGAGCATCACCACAATTCAACCCTGCAACTCCACATATGAACAAGAAACTTGCTCAAAACTTAAAACTACCAATATAAATCTGCCAAATCCAAGTAATTAAGATTTTCACGTCTAAAGACGGATATCCTAAGAAGAGTTTATTTAGTTTAACTAACAATTCCTCACCTGGTAGACATGAATGCTAGGTTGATTCTGTAGGCACATGACAAAGTGATTGTGCCTAGTGGAGTACCAACTGTCCCAACTCGGACTGTCTGAAATCCTACACAGACAGAAGAGAAGTGATCAATGTCCCAACTACTCTTTATGTTAATAATGATCAAACACAAACATAAAACAATTCATTATTACTCTAGTCTTAGCTGAGCACATCAATAAAACTGAAGTCCCCAAGATGATGTCCATGCAGACCACACTTGGTGTTCATCACCCTCTCGTGTTTCACCTCATTTTTAATTTTAGTGCAATAGTGTTTGTGGGAAATTAGCACAGTGACAAGAATATCTCTAGACCCTATCTGAAATGGGACCTGGAACAGAAAACTTCAGGTCTGAAAGAACTATCTTGTTATTTGGAAATTATCACTACCTTGTACTTAGTTATAGACCTGCAGAAGTTGCTTTTCTTTTAACCTTATTAATTTACCATATTTTTCAGAGTCTAAGACACTCTGAAGTATAAGACGCACCTAGCTTTTGGGGAGGAAAACAAGAAAAAAAAGCTTCCTCTGCCTCCCAGCAATTTGCCTCCTTGCAGCAAACAGCAACCATTCTGTTTCAGTTTCAGCATTGTCGGCAAGCAGCTGATTGTCGGTTGGATCAGCCTCCTGACGATCAATTGTTTCCGGTTGTAGGAATTGCCATAGCCTATTGCTGCCTCCGAATACCGTTTCAGCCTCTGCATGCCCTAAGGGGTGAGCAGAGGCATGCGGAGGTTAAAAACAGGATATGGATGCCAAAAATGGAGCATGCGGAGGCGGCAATAACAATCCCTGCAGGCTGAAACAGCTGATGGTTGGGCCGAGCCAACCAATAACCAGCTGTTTGTGCTAATCAGGCTGTGCTGAAGCTGAGACTGAAACAGGCTGTTTGCTGCAAGGAGGCAAATTGCTGGAAGGCAGAGGCCAAAGGGTGGGGGCCGGAGGGTAGGCGGGGCTACATTCAGTGTATAAGACACACCCAATTTTTCACTCTCTTTTAGGGGGGGGGGAAGTGTGTCTTATACTCTGAAAAATACGGTACTTTTTGAGAGCTGATACTTTGTGACTAAACAGCTTACTATAAAAGTAACTTTACTATCATGCTTATAATATATTCAAAAGACATTGATGCAAACTTCTATTATCTTTCCTATTGATAAAATATTCTTTGATGAATATATACTTTAGTTGAATCCCAGATATCAGTTTCAATTCTTCATCAATCTCTTATAAACCTCAAACATCCATCTATATATGCATGTTCTTTTTGTAAACATGTGAATCTGTTAGTCTATAATTGCTCATTTTTATTTTCTACAGTCTGTCAATAGTTTAAAAAAAAAGGCTAGGTCTAATATTTTCTTATACCCAGTCATACCTTCTCCCAAGCCATTCAGTTGCACTTCTCCAAAGTATACCCTACAACAGATAAGTAGAGAAAAAAATTATATGTATCATATATGTTGTTTCAGGATGTCAGGCAGAGATATAAATTTGATTTTTTATTCCTAATGTACAATAACCTTATAACCCTTAATCTGGTCACTTTTTGATCTTCTGTGAACAAGGAATATAAAATAAACATAAGATCTACTAATGTCAGAATCAAAGAAAGAAGCATGGTAAATGCCAAAATTATAACACAGAATCAAGATAACAAAAAAGGGATCAAAATAAATATAAGATCAAATAAATTCCTGTAAGGTTTGATCTAAAATCCCATTGATATATTGTCTGTTTTAATTGCTAGGTCCTAGCCTAGGACATTACAATAACCAACAAAAATCAAAATAGCAACCAATTGAATTTGAGGCTAATAAGAAAAATTAGGAGCCAGACAGATCATTTATATTCTGTCTGAAGCTACAGTTTTATTGAGGCCATTCATTAAATACACATGTAGTTTGGAAATGTAAATCATGTAACAATAATTTACTAGTTGGACCAGGCAATTGGCAATAGGTATAGCAGATTAACTGGAAAATATTTAAATAAACAATTGCACAATATAAGATTATTACACTTTTATTTGCCTGTTAGATTTCAAAACCTTTCCCATATTAATACACTTCAATTGCTTTAAACTGGAAGATTAAACTATATATTTAGCCGATTACATGTTCTAAATGATGAAATTACTGATATTAAGATTGGATTAAATGAGAGATTGGATTAAAAGAAATCAATCAGTGATATTCATCTTGGATTAATATAATCTTTGTTTAAATTCTCTTTCCTTTTAATAAAACAAAACACAGCAATATACTTTGGGAGTTCACTAAATCTAGGAGCTTGTAGTTGAAAACAGGGTACATAGATGATTTCAAAATTATTCCATTCTCAGTTATCATTAATATTACTCCTTCTACAATTAGCATTACATTAAACATATTGGTACAAAGTTGCCAAGTGATTTTCATAGCTAAGAATGTACTTATATCTGGATCTGCCCATACTAGGTCCCATAGTATTAAATTTATATTCCTCATTTAAATATCAAAAAATCATGTAGGAATAAATATAATAGAGAGAACTAAAATAAACCAATGTTTCCTTCAGAATAAAAAAACCAAGCAGGCCAATGTATTTAATAAATTAATAAACATTAACACTGGCTTGTTAATATTATCTAAGAGATTTTATAACATTGCACTAAAGATAAAAAGAGAAGGAAGAAATATATACCTTATTTTGTTCATTTTTTGTTTTATGGATAATGCATAGAGTTATAATTTGAATAATAAGATTAAGAAGCAAAACTGTGAAGTTAAAAAACAATGGTCTGCTTAATATTGCAAAATTTTGAAATGAAACAAAATTTATTTATATTTTGACTAAATTATGAAGAAACACAAGGAAAAATATAGCTATAAATCCACAGATATTCTTAAATTTCACTCACATTAGAAGAATGCAGTAAACTATCAATTACACATGAGAACCTACTTCTTTATTAAAATAAGATTAACAGCAAATTAAAAAGATAAAAAATAGAGACCTATGCAAGCATGTTAAAAATATATGAGGCTTGAGAAAAATAAAGGAAATGTAAGAACATGAAATATAAAACTTGATAGAGACAATATAGAATGTATTAGAAGTTCTATTTATTTTTTGGTTCTGAGGATGATCAAAGTCAGTATTACCTGTACAATATGACATATTCATGACCTTGTTTCCTTGAGAGTCTATAGGCTGGTGTCACCCTTGTTATAGCAAGCAAAGATTTCAGCAGTAGAGATAGTCTATTATACACAGTGTAGGAAACTTTGGTTTCTTTATCACATCTAAAATTAGACATAAAAATAATTAGTCTGACATTCCAAGAATCGATAAATTCTGAAATGAATCAACTTTGAAATACAGGTAATCCTCAATTTATGACCACAATTTAATTCTAAATTTCTGTTGCTAAGCAAGGGAAGTTAAAGTGATTTTATCACATTTTATGAGCTTCTGGCCACACTTATTAAATGAATCACTGCAGTTGTTAAATGAGCCATGCAGGTGTTAAACAAATTGTTTCCCTCATTGACTTTGCTTGTCAGAAGCCAGTTGAGAATGTTACAAATAGGGATCACATGACTCCAGGATAGTGCAACTGCCAGAAATTCATGTCTGTTGCCAAGTGCCTGAATTTTGATCACGTAATTGTAACAATGCTGCAATAGTTCTAAGTGTGAAAAAAAAAATTCAGTGCCAGTAACTTTGAACGGTCATTACACAAATGGTTGCAAGTAAATCTGTATTGAATTATCACTGTAAAAAAATAAAATTTAAGATTATATTTTTACAGAGTTCAAAGCAAACTAATATATCTACAGATTTTATGTAATATACCAATTATTTAATTTTAATTCAAATGAAGATGATTGCTTTTCAAATATCAGAGAGGAATATCTTAAGTAATAATTAATGCATTGGTCCACAAATACCATAGACTTATATAGAAATGGATGCATATTACAATATATCTTTGCTTGATATAGAATACATAAAACAGTTTCTTCCACAATATTCATAAAGTAGAATAGGATATATTTGGGGCATGTGGAAATATGGTCTATTTTTAATTTGGATGCACCAAAACCAAAAAAGTTTGTTTTCTAATGCAGTGAAACCATGATTTATCAAACCCCAACTCAATGGACTTCATTTGCAATGGGACCAAATTGTCACAGCAATTTACATCATTTGCATTTGATGATACCATCTCACACATGTCATTGATGCAAATGAAGTAATTTGCATTATTTGGTAAATGACATCATCATACAAATAAGATCATTTCTGCAATGACAATCATGTAGTTTCATATAATGACAACTGGACTTGGCAACTTGGTCAATAAGCAAAGTGGTTATTATGTGAGATCACGACTCTCATGATTTTATTGTGGGAGATACTTTGCCATCCCTATTATAACTGCAAATGGTCACTAAATGAGGCAGCCGCTAAGCAAGGACTACCTGTATTTTTGTTAGAATGAACTTTCCTCCCTGTCCAAATTAAAATGAAATTCCATTCTATACTCATTTCCTGATCTGGAATGCAATATTAACTAATTACTATACCTATAAAAATACTATTGTGGTATGAAAGAAGCCTATTGATGATAACAGATTTATCTAAATCCCATAGCTTTTTGCAATACACAAGTATATTTAATGAAAAGGGAACTGTGAAATGAACAATTTCTATTTGGCTTCCTGATATATGAAAATATTTTTAATTGGATAATTTAGAATACGCTGTGTGATCTCTAGCAAAATGGCTACAAAAATGCCTGCACAAAATGCCTATCAGGGAAGACTTAGTGAAACTCAAAGCATCCCAATGCTTTATATCACTATCTCTAGCCCCTACCTCTTGCATTTTACACATTTCTACCTTTGTCCATTTGCAGAGCTAGTAGGCTGTATTCTGCATGATTATTTTTAGCTTCTATGAAAGCTTATTAAGCTCATTTTAGCTCTTTAACATTCTTGACAATAAAGAATGTTTCTATAGACTGGCACCTTGACCTATTATAATATGTCAGCTTGCCATTTTTAAAGTGAAATGTAAATTGAAATGTAATGTCAACTAGGGCATAAAGGGGAGTATCATCCGACCTGAAGGCCTTAGTTTTAGGGTAATTATGCATGATACTGTTATCAATTTACCAATGTTTGGAAATACCAGGAAACTTCTAAGCAGCTGTTAAAAGAAGTGAAAAATATTTTACATATGAAACATTTCAAGACTGAAGCTGGCTCTACTGACCTTATGGGAAGAGTTCTGAGCTCAAAAGAACCATTTTCAAATTCAGAAGGTCCTTTTGAATTCAGAATGCCTCCACCAAGATTGGAACTGCATGAAAACATTTCATACAAGTTGGAACAGCTTATTTTTACCTAAGATTGGGGAATACTTGCAAACTTTTATTTTTTAGCGTGCAAATGTTAACTCATAAATTAATTATGATGGATATACTGGATATATTCATTTTTATTACTACTTCTCTATATGCACATTTTAAAATGTAAATAAAAAAGGGAACGAGTGTTTAGTTATTTACACTTAACAAAAAGCCTCCTGTGCCCACTGATTCTAGAGATTCACTAATATTAACTGTTCACATTCAAGCCTGTTGCTTATAACAACATCAAAGCTTTAAAAGTGGTAACTGAGTTCGTTATTTGCATTGTTTCTCTTCTCACTTCCCTTTTCTTTTACACTATGCCTTTTAGGCTTCCAAAGCATCCTAGGGACAGGTAGTGTCCTCTCCGTTATTGATGTGAGTCTTTCTGATAGATATCCCCTCCTTTCCAATAAAGATAGGAATGAAAATACTTTAAACAGTAACTTACTTTTCATTCATTTCTAAACACCAGATTTCCAGCTCCATGGAATCTCCCTGCAGTAGGAAAAAAAAGTGTTTCAACCAAGCCTTTATAATGACAAAGCTTTTACTTGTAAAAAAAAAAAAAGTACCTAGTACAGATGAGTCAGTGGATGTTGCTGAAAACGAGACAAATGAAACTCTAGGTGGACTTAACATTAGTATAGTTTCCAAATTATGAAAAGTGATACCTCCATATACCTGGAAAAATGTCACACAAAAGCAGCTCAAGTTTTTTCACTGCAGAATGCAGGACATAAAATAATGGATTGATAAATGTTTTATAAAACTTGCCAAATTTCAATTATATGGGAAATGGATCTTGGATTTTGGATGCATTCTGTAAGTTAGTCCATTTGAGGTACCTTAGTTCAAAAAATTGTTGTCCCATGGTGTACCATTTCATCCCATTAAAGATCATTAGAACGAGAGTTTTAGTAGTAAGCAAGATAATTCTATCCACTATCTCATCATGTAAGACAATTCCAAATAGAATTCCTGGAAAGAAGATCCTATGTGTAACAATATTTCAGTGACTAAACAGAGTAGTTTGGTTTTTTTATATAAAACTGAAAATAATAATGCTGCCAGAAGTAGTTTACTGGAACCCTCTCTTGTTAATTTTCATATTATTTGAAGCCATGTA